AACTGCCTCTTTGCCTTGTTTTGTTTTGGCCTTCCCTTTTTGGCAGCTCTCAGCACATGCATAATTCACTTGCTGCCAAAGATGTGGCACATTGTCGGCAAAGTAAGTCCATATTGTAGCTTTTTGACGCCCATAAAGTAAGACTAAGAAGCAAAATAGGTGTGCATACAAATGTATATATGTATACATATACATGTATTGAGTTCAAAAATAGTTTAGCTTGACAGCTGCTTTGTCTTCGAAATAACATGTTGTTTTTATCTTCAGTTCTCGACGTTTTTTTTGTTTGATGTTTTGCTTTCACTGCATTTTTTGCCTTTCGACTTTTATCTTTGTAAATCAGCAACATATTGCTGGCAGCTAACAACGTATCAATACTGTTTACTATTTGTTTGTATCAATTTCGATGTTTGATCGAAAGCTGCGGCGTTTTTGACGAAGAAAGGGTATAAAGTTTGTCTCAAAACATACCGGAATTATTATTATTGTTGGATGGAAATATTTAAGATCTTGTCTTATATACTCGTGTTATATATAATATTCGGCACTTTATTATAGGTAAATTATATAGATCAATTTAAAGCTTTTTGTAGTATTGGTATGAACTTTCTTCTTTTTTTATAGAATGTCTATTACAATTATAATTCGGTTTCGTTTTTATATATTTTGATTGAACATTTTTGCTTTATACTGAACCTTTATCAAAAATTTGCAATGCAATGGTCTAGCTTAATTATTTTTATATTTTGATATTTCGACAAAAATAAAAGTTTTATTCACAAAAAGTCATACATAATTTATCGATATTTTTCGGAGTTAGATAATTATTTTATTCTCAAGCTTGAACAGGGTATATTATGTTGCACCAATGTTTGTGACACCCAAAAAATAACGTCAGGAACCCTATAAAGTGTATATATAAATGATCAGCGTGAGCTAAGTGGACTTATCCGTCCGTCCGTCTGTATATATACGAAGTATTTAAGTTTTTGAGATATCGATATATAATTTTACACCCGTCCTTTTGTCTCCAAAAAGTTGCTCGTTTATAAAAAAAAGGCGATATCGCACGACTATAGCATATAGCTGTCATACAAAGTGTTCGATCGAAATCAAGTTATTGTAAGGAACCTTTTGTATATATGAAGGGTATTATAGATTCGGTTCAACTGAAGTTAACGTTTTACCTGTTTTTAATAATATTTGTGTAATAATTACGATGTCTTAAGTCTCGATTTACAATATTATATATATATATATATATTAGGGTGGAGGGAAAAAAATATTTTGTTTTGATTAGCCTGAGGGTAAAATCTGTAGATCATAAAAAAAGAAAATTTTTGGACAAATAAAATTTTTTTTAACATCCACAACTTCTCGAATACTTATCAAAATTTTTTTACGATATAAAAATTATAACTCGAAAATCTACTTTAAAACTTTTCTAGATGTCAAAACAATTTTTGTTTTTGTCCAAACATTTTATTTTTTTGTAATCTACAGATTTTACCCTCAGGCTAAACAAAAACAAAAAAAATAATTTTTTTTTCGCTCCACCCTAATATATATATAGCCGAGTATCAAACCTGTCAAAATTCGATATCTTTCAAGGCTCCTAATTTTATTTGTTGTGAACATAAGTATGCGTAATATTATAGTAATTTGTGAACGCAACAAAAAATCTAAAAATATACCGCTGTTATCCGTGAATTCCAAGGGAGTGCCGATATTTGAAGGTAAGTTAGTTTACCAAGTTTTCTCAGAGTTATTCCAAAAGCTTGACTTGCTGAAAATCGTCGAAATATTGATAATTAATCGATATATATCTAAGTATATGAAATCGATAAATTATAAAAAATCATAAAATATGTGTATATCGATATACACATATTCCATTAACAAATCGCATATCGTCATTTCATTTCAAATTTTGTTTTAGAATATCTCCTTTTTGCATTGCAATGAGTCCTTGACCTATAAGCTGAGGTATACATATATACAAAATTAATTAATTTTTTCAAAAGCTTTAGCTTAATTGCTCTCCTGAACGAATAAGTATTAAAAAGTCTCTTGCGTCAATGACAATATCTTATTCTATCCGGCTTCTATCGCGCATTTAATACATTTTATGGAAATTATACCGAAGTATCAAAAAAAAAAGCATTCTTGCCAAAATATATTCATGCGCTGCAAATATAAAGTAATTTACATATTCATAAGCAATAAATTTTCTTTTAAGGTTATTGATTCGCCATTGCGGTGCAGGCACGCTTGATGGCCTACCACATGCATAAAATGACACGCTTCAATCAATATTATGACATAGATTTATTGGGAAATAATTTTCACCTGTGCTAACAAATAAAATCACTTTATGACACAAGAAAGGAGAGGTGCGCATGTGGAGGCACAGCATATCTAAAGTCATAGGCAAAAGAAGGTCCGCTACATGAGAGTAATAAAAAGGTCTGCAGAGGAGGGTAGAGAGAACTGAGACTGTTCAAAGAAGTTGGCGCAACATAATGTTGGTGACAGTTTAGAAGTCATTATGATTAATCATAAATTTCAAATAAGTTCTGAAAAATTCGCACATAAATTATTTATATGCAGAAGATGGCGTTAAAAATTGAAGAAAGTTTTGTAAAAATTTCAATATTTTACAACAAAATGTATGCGAAAATAATATATATATATATATGTTATAATCATATATAATGTATAAATATACATATATAATAATATAAATAATTCACATATATTTATGACAGCGCCTAAAAGCAGACTTCTCCTATGCAAATTTCTTGCTTTCTATGACTAATAATTATTGTAGCTTGCTGGCTGCTGTGTGCTATCGATATATGTATGTACATCTATATTCTACTTAAGAACAGACACCTGAATGCTCTAAAAATGTATTGCCATGAGAGCGAAGGACGCACAAGCACTTTACTGCATGTCAATTTGTAAATCGAAAGAATGTCAATGCATCGATGATTGCTTGCCTGCTGCCTTGGTTGTTTACTTTTGTGTGTATGTGTGTATTGATTGAACATACCTGCATTTGTGCTGACATGCATTTAAATATGTTCTTGCATATTTCTATTTTTCCTATTAGACCATTTTAGTGTGCACTTTTCACAATTTTTATGATTGTTCCAGTTTCCCTGCACTTGGGTCATTCAGCTGCAGTCGAGGTGTTGCCACAGCGCATGGAAACACATATCGATTAATGAATATTCATGTTGTGAGCAAGTCTCCTACTCCTTTGCTCTCTGCCGTGCGTCAACTGTTGCGACTCCTGCCAGCGTTGCACTTTTGCATTGGCAGTTTCCTTTATGACCTGCAATAATAGCTTGAAACCATAATAATAAAGTTCAACGGCAATTCTTGTTCCCGGTTATGTGTGTGTGTGATTTTGTATTTACTATCTTAGTAATGGCAGTGATAATCGGTGAGGTTATCTTAATGTTAATTTGCACCAAAATGGGTTTGCTCCGTTAGCAATTTGTGGCCAGCAATTTACTCGTATTACATAGTATGTATGTGTGTGTTTTTTGTATTTAGCTTCTACGTTCGTTCGTATTTTGCATACAAATTGAATGCTGTCAGCCACAAATTGAAGGCAGTTCGTCTATCAAGCAATTATTGCATGCAAATGTGGCATTTGGCTAACTGTAATTTTCATTTTTGACAGAAAGGCATACACACAGTGTGCGTGTCGCTTAAATAATTTTTATTTTTGAAAAAAGTTTTATTCACATTTTTCATTTAGAGACGGAGTATATTAAAAAATTTTTAATTTACTTGGTCAGAGGTTGGTTCTCAATTTTAAAAACTACACCAATACGTTATACACCCCGAGTGTTAATGTCACCAGACCTATTTGTTCAAAGTCTATAGATATATAGTTTTTTCAAGTGTTTACCGTGTTGATACATTATCTAGATATTCTTTTAGACGGGGATAAGTACTTAGCACCACCGCTAAATGACGCCACTATTTCAAAAGAAATTTACAATCTTGAAGTACATTCCTGTAGATTTCAGCCTAATCGAACCCTTAGTTTGGAAGTTTAATGTAGATGGATAGTTTCTGCAGCGTTTCGTGGCTGTTGATGTATGATGAATCTACTGGTATACATCAGAAACTAAGGAACAGTCCAAACCGTGAACTTCACCCGACGAAATTACCCCAAAAAATGCGAAGTATATTCCATCGGTTGAAAATGAAATGGCCACGGATCCACAAGGTGATATATAATATATCGACTATCGGTAGAGGGATAAAACTATCACAGAACTCTACTATGCCGAATTATTGAACCAATTCGAAGTCGAATCGCAGCAGAGCGGCCTAATTCGGAGATAATAAGAGTGCCCTTTTCACATCTCTGTCATTGCCACGGCAATAAGATTACATTATATAACCTTTACAGACCTCCAAAAACATATTTTTCAGAAGGGTTAAATAAGTTAAAGCATCGCTAAGAAAATGTTCAAAAAATATACGATTTCATATATAGACTGAACATCTATCGGATCACCCTTGATTACATTAGACAAAATAATTTATAAAAGAATTGTAATAGGTTTTTGCTTTCAAAGTATTAAATTTCCACCTTCTGAAATCGATTGCTCTTTTTTCGATAATAATTTATCATAAAAAAGACTTCTACCAACTGTTTTTGTCAGAAGGTTAAAGACAGGTGATAGCTATAATCTTTTGGACAAAAAGCTGTGCGATCATTTGGGCCCAAGCAAAAAGCTTACATCGTTTATGAGTCGAATATGGAAAGGCCTCACTAAATTATCGAGGGCAGTTCTTAGCTCTCTCCACAATTTTTTACTAAACTTCCTGCCCTGAAACACTCAACAATGGATTTAGTGTATCTCTTTTCACTCATTAGTGTTCGCCTGTACTCGGATTTACCGCCACTCTGAGAACAATCTATTGACAGAAACTGCACATTGTAACTCAACTCTAAAACACATAGTCCAAACTTATAAAAAATAATAACAAACAAATACACTCAGGTATATTTCACAAAATTCGTAAAATAAATCAGCTCTCTGTAGAACATGCCTTTAAACCATTACCCACACATGAAGCATAAGCCATCATATGGGGAATAGTGTTTTGATCATAAACACCAGTGAACAAATGAGCCCAAGGACCCGAAGCGAACACAGCCACATCGTCACCACCATGTGTCTCCGAATCTAATGGAATTGTGGAGGGGAACGCATCACGTGGTGCACCCTTTTTCAAAGTGGTAGGATCGCGGCGTTCGTGTTTCTCGACATCATAAAATTTCTCATAACTCGGACCGTTTGCATAACTTAAGGTCATGTAGGGCTGACCATCTGAACCCTTTGATGGTGCGCGCCCAAAAATGTCATTGCCTCGTACCTATATGGTAATAAGTTTATTAAAAAATAAATTAATATAAGTAGAAAGAATTACCGCATAGCCCGAATAAGTCATAGCGTGCGAGTGATCAGCGGTGACCACAATCAAAGTGTCCGTTTCGTTGGTCAACTCGCGCGCTATTTGTATGGCCTTGGCGAACTCTAGCGTCTCATCCAAAGCCAGACGAGCATAAGTGTTATGATGACCATGATCGATGCGACCACCCTCAATGAATATGAAGTAACCCTCATCGTTGCGACTCAGAAACTCTATAGATTTGCGGGTCAGCTCCGCCAATGTGGGTTGATTGCTTTGCTCTGTCGTCTCCAAATGATATAGCATGTGGCTGTCCTGGAAAAGTCCCAGTAGGCGATCCACTTGTGTGATATTCAAGCTATTCAATTCATCAAGCGTCTCGACATAAGCATTTCGACTGTTCTGCTGCTTATACTCCTCAATCAAATTACGTCCATCGCTACGTATACCGTTCGCATACAAATTCGAGTCTACGAACTCACGTCTGCCACCACCCAATATAACGGATAGTTTGCTTCCCACCTCGCCATGCATGAGCTGATATGCGATGTCCTGCACTATGCTGTCAGCACCACAATCACCTTTTACCTCCCTGTCATTCTCCCAGTTGCGGTCGGCAACATGCGCATATACGCCAGCTGGTGAGGCGTGTGTTATCCTGGTGGTAGTCACTACACCTGCCGATTTGCCGGCATCCAGCGCCCACTTGGCAATTGAGTTAACATGGTTTGTAACATTCGGTGACTGGAGACAGTCTGTACGGTCTACACGACCACTAACGCCGATGGTGCCACCGATTGCTTTGACGCCGCACAGGTATGCGGTGGCCGTGGACGCAGAGTCAGGTACAATTTTATCCACATTGTAGGTGCGTGATAGACCTGTATGTGGGAACGTTTCAAAGTAGAGCGACTTTTCTTCACCGCCTAGTAGATTTCGTGCAGCAGAGTGTGTGGTAATACCCATGCCATCGCCCAGGAACATAATCACATTTTTGGCGATATTTTGGTTAGGTGGAGTATGTAGCTTCTCTTTCACGAACTGCTTACCTTGGTCCAACCAATACTCTGTGTTATCTTCACCTGCAATTCTACTTTGAGCTGTAAGTCTGCCGCGATCGCTGAAGAAATCCGGATGCATGCGACTCTCCCGACAATCCTCATCGTCCTGCGCGCAAGCAGGGATCGTATGCGCAGTCCGCAGCAGCAGACAACATACGATTCCGCCGAGTATTAGTCGCGACATAGCTAACGAGTTGTGAATAAATGATTAACTATCGCAAGGTTCGTCTTGAAACTATTTAAGCACCGTTAATGATATAATTTCTTTTTATTTTGTAAAGCTACTGTGTTTCTCGAATGTGCAAAGGCTACGATAAGGCGGACACGTGAGAGACCAGTGCTGCTTTATTAGTGTGATATTGAGACATGTCCCAACGAGACTTTCAGGTGATTTTTCAAGTTTCATACTTTATTCTTCCAATAATTGGTTTATGATCACCCGAATCTTATCAACTACCCCAAAACATTCCGTATGCTGTTATTGAGTTAGTTATCTAATTAGTCGATATAAAAAAGTTGTGTTCTTACAGTCACAACCACACCTTTTCAAATTCAGGCCAATAAAATGGTACGTATTTCATTTAAAAGCTTACTATACGAGAAGGGTTTGATAATGTTTTGATTATGTGATTGGTGGAAGAGGGCAAAGAATTAGGTGATTAAAAGCTCGACTGTTGATATTTTATTCATATAAAATGGAATACTTGAAAGAAGATAACTTTACCTTTTAGAGGAACCCCTTCGGGCTCGATATAATCAGGAAATTCGGCATAAATTATTGTCCAAGACAATGTTCACTTATTCAGATCGGACCACTATAGTAAGTAACTGCCATATAAACTGACCGTTCAAAATCACTATAAATTTTTTTTCTAAACCCTTTATGCTATGGAGATTGCACCTGTAAACGGTATTATAGCTTCGGTGCAGCCGATCAAAGCTTTTCTTGTTTTCTCTGTCATTAATGCGGCTTAATCTTTCTACCTGCATTTCTGCATTTCAAATAACACTGAACGTTATTTCTTTGAGTTGACTATATAAATAGCTTATAGTCAATTTACCTATCATTCGAACTGACCCCTTTTATTAGTACGTCATAATAATACCCACTGTAATGAGGTATGATTAATTTGCTAAAAAAAAGCTTCCGTCAAATTATTCCAAATCTACTATGGTGTTTTCGTTGCTGGTGAAAGACCATATTAAAACTGATTTGAAGAAAGCTCAAGTTTAGCTGCAGTCTAAATGGAAAGCTCTTAAAGTTTGGTCAAGTTAATATTCTTTTTTTAATTCATCATTTTGCCAAATTGTTAACTCTAGTCCTTTTGAGATAAACTACTATTATTTTCCAAAATCGTTTATTGTTATTTACATTTCAAAAGGGTAATTCTTCGATATATAGACAAAATATGAACAAAGCAAAAGCAGAAAAAGTTATGTTATCTTAATAGCTTTAAAGAAGCCCGATATTCTATTTTAAATCGCTCTTTTTTGGCAACATATTTAGACCAGTATGGGAGTGCCCTAATATCCACTCATTACGCTAGTAAAAAGCATAAAAATGGTCTGTCGCAACGTAAATGCCCTTCAAGCCACTAACGATCAAGCAACTTACTAATACTCGGCAGCTTAAAATTGATTGCGAAGTGAATTTGGTACTAAATCTAAATCTTTTTATTAAATAATAATTATATTTTATATTTTAAGTTAAAATATATATATTTTTAATAAAATATATAGATTTTAAGAAACCTAAGCCACAGCCGTGGAGCATATCGTCAGACCGTCAGACAAACACGAAGCATAAGCCATCATATGTGGTATGGTATTTTGCTCGTAAACGCCAGTAAACAAATGAGCCCAGGGACCCGAAGCGAATACAGCAACATCATCACCACCATGAGTCTCCGAGTCAAGAGGTGCGGTTGCGGGAAATTGATCATAAACATCACCGGTTATAAGGGTAGTTGGGTCACGACGCTCTTTGTTTGTAAGATCGTAGAATTTCTCATAGCTCGGACCGTTCGCATAGCTCAAAGTCATGTAAGGCTTCTTGTCATCGGATGTAGCAGGTGTGCGACCAAAAATGTCATTACCGCGGTACTGTAGGGAAAAGGCAGAATGTGCAGGTTTTTATTGAAAAAACGTATAACTGAACGTCTTAACTTACTGGATAACCGGAATAGCTGAAGGCATGCGAGTGATCAGCAGTGACCACAATCAGAGTGTCCTCTTCGTTAGTCAACTCGCGTGCTGCGCTGATGGCTTTAGAAAACTCGACTACCTCGTCCAGTGCTATGCGCGCCATATTGTCATGATGCGCCGTATCGATGCGTCCACCTTCAATGAAAATGAAGTAACCTTCTTCGTTGCGGCTCAAAAACTCGATAGCCTTCCTTGTCATCTCCTCCAGTGTTGGCTGCCGTGAGTTCTCATCGGTCTCCAAGTGATATTGCAAGTGACTATCACTGAAAATACCCAATACGCGATCCACATTGCTGAAGTTCAAATTATTAAGTTCAGTGCGCGACTCAACGAAGGCATTTCTGTCACTAAGATTCTTATATTGATCGATTAAATCAAGTCCATCGCTACGCGTGCCATTCGCATATAGTTTAGTGTCAATGAAATGTCTCTTGCCACCGCCCATCATGAACGACAACTTGCTGCCCACCTCGCCATTAATTAGTTGGTAAGCGATGTCCGACACTCCGCTGTCAATGCCACATGATGCCCTCACCTCGCTATCATCCTCCCAATCGCGATCGGCTATGTGCGCATAAACGCCCGCTGGCGAGGCATGTGTAATTCTTGTCGTGGTCACAACGCCGGCCGACTTGCCAGCATCCATGGCCCACTTGGCAATTGAGTAAACGCGATTGGTGGTATTCAGCATAGCCGCACAATCCTCACGTTCCACCTGTGCGCTCACACCGATTGTGCCTTCCATGGCCTTCACGCCGCACAAGTACGCAGTCGCGGTATTCGCCGAGTCGGGCACAATAATATCGACGGCATAAGTTTTCGATAAACCAGTGTAAGGGAATTGCTCGAAGGATAAGTATTTCTCCTCACCGCCGATGAGATTGCGTGCAGCCGAGTGCGTGGTTATGCCCATGCCATCGCCCAAGAACAAAATCACATTTTTAGCCTTTTGCGTTTTCAACTTCTCGGCCAGTTTAGTTTGGATGAATTCCTTGCCCTGATTGCGCCAGTAATCGTTCGTGTCTTCGCCATCGATTTTGCGTATAAATATTCTACCCTGCGGCAGATCATCTAGATCGGGATGCATGCGACTGTCGCGGCATTCCTCGTCATCGCGGGCGCATGGCGGCAGCGCCAATACAGCGTACAGTACACAAGCGAGTGTGGCTAAGAAAAGTGTGCGTCGTGCGTACATGGTGTGCTATGTCTTGAGTTAAAAATCAACTGAAGCGTGCTGCTCAAAATTTCTTCGGTGTTGTGGACTTTCTCAAGTATAAGTATAGCTATAGATACATAAGTACAATATTAAGATTTATTGTTAAAAAAATACTTGAGATATCGGCGTTTCGCGTTTCCTCGTTTACTGTCAGTGATTAGATTAGGTATTTAAGGCGATGCAAGTATATTTTTTGCGAAGTTTAATTTTGGTTTCCAATACATTCGATTTGTTGTTGTTGCTTTGCGGAGAAATTGAATACACGTAATTTTATAATATTTCTTTCTCGTGTGCATTTCTGCTGTAATTGAAGACAACTGACACTTCCGACCAACTATTGATTCTTGTGAGAAGTTTTTTCATTTTGGAAATATGATCGGTGGCTCCAAATATCATACCCTAAAAATATCCAAAACTATTAAAAAACTAAAATTTTTTATATCAGCTTCGATCGGGATTTCAAACTGCCATCCACTGAGGAGATAATGACTCAGCGCTCTTCGTAAAACATAATAAATACTTGCTATACTATATACTATATAAATGCAAGTTTTTGGAGTCGTATGGTATTGGGAGTACATCGAGAGCATTTTAAAATTGATTGCGCACCATTTATTCCCAAACTTGTATGTAGTTATATGTCAGACAATAGAAGTACATATCACTCAATTGATAGATATTGGGGCATTGATTAAAATGATTAATGGCTCAGTTTGATATGACAGACCAACTACTTAATGCGAAATATTGATAAGAAAATATTTATGGTTTGAGAAAGCGCTGCATTATTTACCAAACGATTCTTTAATTGTTTGTAATTTATAGTATTCGTCTTTTCTAGGTGTTCCTCGTCTCAACCCTTAATAATCGTTCTATTATTTATAACAGCATAAACGGTTATTTGGTAGTTGTTGATAAGTAGATTGGTACCGAAAAATAATAAAAAATAAATAAGCAAATAAGCAAATAAGTTTAGAAGCTTATAGATTCAGTAAAAAGACATTCTCAGCAATTGTTTGGAGGGTAGCTGAGTGTTTAATATACGCTTTTTATACCCTGTACAGAGTATATTAACATATATAAATTATTATTGTGACGAGCAGAGGCGAGCTTATCGATGTTCGAGCTTATCTTTAAGTTGTTGAGAATCTGACATTTTGCATACGTCCTTTTCTCCTCAAGTAGCTGTTTATTTGTCAGAATCACCGATAAGAGACCACTACAGGCTGTTATACAAACTGACCGCTCAAAATCAAGTTTTTGTATGGAAAACTTTTTTATTCGACAAGATATCTTTACGAAATTTCTCATGGATTTTTACACAAGGCAATTCAATGATCAAACTCAAATTAAAGTTATTTTTATACTCTTTTATGTTATGCCTGTGAGGGGTATTAGAGTTTTGAGGCAGCCGTAGTTAACGTTTTTTCTTGTTTTTATTATCGATTGTCCGATTAGATATTTTTTTGCTTACCGTGGTCTGATAATTAACGCATGTCTTTTGGTTAGACGTTTGTTTAGACTTCATTTATGTTTATAGTTAGGTTCTTCCAACCTAAGTCTAAATAAACAAAAGGCTCTATAGCTACACTCTGTGTTCGAGTTAGTTTATTGGCATTTGTTTTTCCCATCTTATCTTGAAAAATATTGCAATGTTTCGGTAAAGTATATGTTTTATATCGGTTGACAAATGAAATCACATTTAACATTGTAAATAATAATAAATAAATTTGAAAGTTTCTTTTTTTGGCTTTTATCATTTATTCCTCTCTCATGAGTTTAGTGAAGCGTTTACCGGAATTTTGTATATATTATTTATTCTCTTTAAATTTTTTGATGTCTCTGAGAGAAACTCTGAATGATTTATTAACATATTTCACGTCTTCGCATTGAAAACTCTAAATTAAGTTTTTATTATGTATATTTTCAGAAATATGTAAGCGAATTATCGACAGTGCGAGATTGTGCCACTGAGTGTGTTGAGAAGGGTGAGTAGATTCAAATATTTTTAATATATTTCTAATATGTATGCTCATAGGGTGTATTCATTATTAAATTTTTGAAAAATTTTAATTATCTTGCTGACATTTTTTGTGTATTTGTGCATTTATAGAAATATGGGAGACACAAACTTATTGCTGTAATACCGACGGCTGCAATGGCTCCAACAATTTGCAGATCTCAAAACCTCTACTATTATTACCGTTACTATATTGTGTCTATAAATGGTTGACAGTCGCTTTCAATGAGCGGCATTAAGTTGAGGAGCATGCGTAGAGAGTGGTGAAAGGGTTAGGCACTAATAATCATAAATATGGGCATGTAATAAAACGAAAAATAACGGAACGTAGTAAATTAATAAAAATTAACTTGTTAAAAACTATTTTCTTCAAAAGAAAAAATTCTAATATTTGTGTGATTTTTCATCTCGTGGTTTAAATGTCCAAAATTTTTGTGCAAGCTAATTGGATATTTCGATATTCTTTAGGTAATTTTCAAAATAAATTTTCAAAATAAACTTTGAAAATTTTTGGATACTTTGCATTTATGCTCTTTAATTATTGTACTTTTAATAGTCTTCCCGATAAAATGTTTAGTAGAAATATATAGAAAAGCGAAAACTTAACACAAGAACAAATCGGAAAATTTTTAAAAAATATCAGAATTGAGTAACAAGTGTAGGGGAAAACCAAAAAATAAAGTACATTATATAAATCCGAATGTTGAAAATCTTGCGATTTAAGTAACCAAGAAGCATATTAGAACAAATTCTAAATATAATAATGCAAATAAAAAATACAATACATACATATATATACATATATAGTTACAAAGATATGTAAAGCAAATTTCAGCTCATAGCAAAAACATTTTCGTAATTGAAAGCATACAAATATTGAAATATATTATATAATAAGAGCTAATAACTAAAGAAAGTAAGGTAAAAGGAAAAGCTAATAATTTACAGTTACTCTTATAAAGCATAATAGCTAAATTTAGAAAGAGTTTCATCAATTTTAAAAATTCATTAACAACGTTTTTGCGCCTAAAAGTAGATCACGACATTTTCAAAAACAAGTCATACAAAACTATTTTGCAACATTTATTTAACGAAGTAAGAGTTTATGAAGCATACTATTGTGCGCTTGCTATATGTTTTTATAATTTTAGGAAATAAGCGACAATTATTCTATGCCGTTAGTCATATATTGCGCAATCAATCGCCTCGCCTTGTTATATTTTGGGGCTGGCAGAGGCGGTTGCTTCCCGGCAATATAAAATGTAGTATGCTTTGTGTATTTTCTGCATCATTTAATGTTCTATAATTTACTTTTCATAAACAACTTTTCTAAAATTTACCAACTAATTATATGAAACCAACACAAATATATATTCTAAAAACGCGCAATTTTTAAAAGGCAACACACACCTATTAGAGACACTTTCTTAAATAAACATTGAACTAGTATCCTGTTCCAATAGGGAAAAGAAAATTCGAAATTACTAAACGCATTCGGTCATTTTCATTATTGAATTTTAAGTGAAATATTTTAAAATTTCATTAGTAATTTAAATCTAAAAGACATAAAAGCTAAAATACAATATTGAAAATAAAAAAAGTAGTTTGTTAGGAAAAATACCTAGGAGATGAAGTTAGAACAATATAAATACGCAACGAACTACCACTAAATCTCTGAGAAATCGAGCAGTTTCAAGGCTTATGTGCGCTCTCTGCGGCAGGTATTGAGCGGATTGGCGGTAGTGAGTGGCAGCTGAGGTGAGGTCTAATGATGTTGTATACTTTTATGAGTTTAGTATATAATTTTGTGTCAATTCTATAAATCGAACTCGAAACGATGAATCAAATGAAAAAAATATATTTACTGACGAATATTTGGCATATTTGAGAATATTTGCTTGCAATATGACAGACCACGCTATACTCGTACTTACGTTATTTCTTGTTCAACTTTGTATGGGCGTATGGCTTAACCTCTCCCTTAATAAAAATTATTGGAGTTTTTTTAAACGAGAGACCTACTTTTGTTTCAAAATGTTGTAGGAAATGATATACAAGGTGAGCTAAATCGAAATAATTGATCATTGAAAGAAGAGTTTCTTAAGTAGCTATCGCTCTTTGTTCTATGCTTAGGAATAGTTACATTGGGAAAAAATACTTTATTGTATATACTTGATATAAAATTAGTTTAAATATTTGTTTAAATTAGTGAGTTTAGAAGGCGTAATCCAACTCAGCTATAATCTATCGGTGTCATTTTAAAGCTATGGGGAAAATGGGTTTTTAGTTTAGAATCTCTGGAACTGTTGCGAATGAAGAATTTGAAATATATTTAATTAAGGTAACGAAGTTCTAATTTTTTGTACCCTGTTTGCAGAAATTACTTGAAAATATCAGAACTGCTTGAAATATCCCAGAAATTATATGCTCTATTATTAAAACTTTCCTATTTCAAATTTATTTTTTATGACATCATTAAAGCGCTCTTCTGATAAAAGATATATGATTAGAAAAAATATTTCTGCAAAATTGGCCATGCGTTAAAAGTATACCATACAGGTTAGTAAGCTAACGGAAAGTTTCAGGTTTTGTTTAAAAATTGGATATTTAACAAAAAATTAAAATAATATATTTATTATCATTGTAATATTTTGAATATTTATACAAAACAATTTGAAATGTAATGATCAGAAATATGTCTTCTGAATTACGGTTTATAGTTTAATTTTTACTATAAATCATATTACCGTTAAAAACCCCTCAGCTGCTTTTTCAGCTAAGCAATAATAGGAACAGAGCGAATTCTCTCAACAAACCCTATGAAACTGTACAAGAAATTCTAAATTATTGTTTAACTAAATTTAAACAAAAAAATTAATGAAAAATATTGTAACGTAATAAGCAAACAATTTGTGCTAACACACATTTGAATAACAGAATAGAGAAAATAAAACGATAAAAAATTATGCAAGTATAAGTAATGGCAAGGAAAAAATTCGCTACTACAATATACAAATGTAGAAGAAAGCAAAAAACAAAAAATGATTCGTGGGTAGGCAAAATAAATACTAACAATAAAAAGAAAAAAAAAAACTGCAAAGAAAAATCTCACAAAAGGTGCATCAAAACATTTTAACATATTAAAAATACACAAGAAAGTATTGAAAAAAAGAAACATAAATAAAAGCACACTTCTTTTTTAATTAGATTTAAATTTAAGGCTTTCACAAATTCTTAATATAAAAAATAAGATTGAATTGATACAAGTAGTAGGGCAATAGCAAAAAAAAATTTTGAAAAAATTACATAATACAAACATACGAACACACAGTTAATTAGTGATAAGTTAAGCATCGAATCATTAGCATAAAGCCTATTGATAAAGCAAAAAAGAAAAACAAAAAAGAAGAACAACACAGCAAATACGATATAAAGAAGTAATAATAAATGTATTAGTTCCTTAACAAAGCAGCATCAAGAAGTTGTGGGGATAAAGAGACAAGAAAATTTGCAATAAGTACCATATAATTAATACATGTTAATAGCCATAACAATAACAACAATATGCAGCAGAGCATACATTAAATTCAGCATTAGCAGTTTTTAAGTACGAATGAGACAAATGGCAGCCACAAAGAATTTTTAATACGCGATAATTAAATTTTTATAATTTTTTCAATTTTTTTTCTTTAATCAGCTTATGTCATGCTTTAAGCTGTGTTTATTTTTAATTTTTTTTATTTTTAAAGAGAGTTTAGTGAGGTATTGTCGTTTTTTGCGCGCCGCAATTTCAACTAATTATGTAATAATCCACAATATTGCGCAAATTCTCCACATATTTCTCATATTATTTGTTTTTATTGCACATAAGCTTCAATAGAGGACGCTGGTGCATGCTTCAGTGTACACATAGACCATATAAACACACACATGCAAGCGCAGGTCTTAGCGAGCAATATGGCAATGTGGATTCGCCTGCATGCTCCTCACAGCGCATCCTCTGTTATAGAAAAAATAATTATAAAAAAATATTGAAACAAACCCAATAAAAACCAAATTTGAACTACAACAACAACAATCAGAAAAAGCGTTCAAATGTGATGTAACGACACATTAAATTAATTCAATTCAATTAAATTAAACTAAAAAATTTTTTTGTTATCAAATAAAATGAACACAAAGAGTAAATAAGCTGCAAAAAAATTAAATTTATTGCAAAACAAAAAACAATAGTGTGAAGAAATAAAATATTTTATTACTATATATAATTACATGCATACATGTAGCTGCGATTATATATATATATATATATATATAACTTTCTATATATTATTATCTAAAAGTATTATTATTGCTATTATTATTCTAATTATTATTAACTATTATATTGTTATACTATATTGATTAATATAATGTATTAATGTATATGCGCATTACCAACACACACACAGCGTTCATAAGTATCTATATATATAAAAGTAATTTCAATGCTGATACTCATTCCAATGCAATTACCACATGCAATAACAAAAATATTTAGTAAATCAATACATTTAAACAAACAAGTGAAATATTTCAAAATTCAATAACATTTCCTTTTCCGCTTAAATGGTAAAAAACTAACGGCATTTTTAAACATTCACGCATAATTAACAGTAAATAAATGGCTAAAACATACAAGGCGTTTCCGCATAAAATAGTAAAAAAAAAAACTCATAATAACAACAGTACTCAACAATTGAGTAATGCATATACATAGAGTTGTTTGCATATAAAAAAATAATTTATCGTTACAGCGCAATAGAAAACACAGTAGGTGCGAAAAGATAACATACATAGCAAATACGCGTAAATACTAATAAATAAGATTGCTGCATAAGGAAAAATATTAAGAATATAAAAAAATAAAAAATTTATGAATAAAAAAAAGAATAAGTAAAACTCTATAAAAATAATAATATGAAAATAAATAATAATTTGAAAATAAATAAATTTGAAAATAAATGCTAGTTTGAAAATAAACTTTAATTTAAAAGTGCATAAAAAGTTGCAAGAAAACAAAATAATGCAACTAAAGTTCACCCAGTTCAATCACACACATACACACATGTATACACATGCAAATACACTTACTCTCCCATGCGCAAAACTAAACTATAAAATAACTGTAAAAAATTTCATGTAAAATGTTTAATTTTGATTTTAGTAAAATAAAATTCAATAAAAACGAAAATGAATATGAATTAATTTTCAATGGGTGCACCGTTAGTGTGGTGAATATGTGCGAAATGAATGAGCGTAAATTGTTTGAATGTGTAGCATTGAAATATTTTTCGATATCACTTGTATTTGTTAGAAAATCAGATTCAATTGAAAAGGTAGCATTAAATTCGCAATTTTTTTTTTAAGATTAATAGATAAATAATTTCATTAGAGAATTTAGTGTGTTTTAATAATGAGCGAGTAATTTTTAATAATTTAGGAACACATGTTGCCATAGCCGTTCTACAGGAGGGCTGTAGGCGAAAAGTTTCTGGCGGTGAAAACGATTTTTCTGCTTTAAATTATCCGACATCCATAAACCAAAAAAAGAAAAAAATTATTATTAGAACCGAAACTGGCCCCTACTACCTCGCCCGTAAGAGTTATAACTTGGCCGCAATAGGCACTTTTGTAGAGCGTTCAATTATGAAAAAACTCTACTTTGGTCAAAGAGATGCCATGCAGTGCCGCTAAACTATAGATATTTAAAATTTAAAAATCAGAGTTTTCGTGTATTTTCAACGGGAAATTTTTACACGGCTTGGTCCAGTAGTTAAAATTAATATTTAGGGCTCAATCTTTCAGGGATTTTTATTTGTAGGTATTTCCAACAAAATTTCACGATGGGATCGAAAAACAAAAAATCGTTAAGAAACACCGGCGGCTTTCCAAAAAATTGAGTTTTTGTGAAAAAATTTACACTTCACAGTGGCTTAACAAATTGTAATAATTATCAAAATCTTATTACCTAAATCATTACCTGCCAAATATACTTGTATCTAAGAAGGTCATGACAAAATTTCTGGTCGATCGCTGTAGCTTACACAAAGTTGAAATATATTTGCAAATACGCTGATATCTCCGAAACTATTTGCTAGATCAACTTCAAAGTTTCTGAGAACACCCTCAAATATATTTATATTCGATAAATAAGCTAAAACCTACCCTTTAAATAATATAAAATACTAGAAATAACTGTTTACTGAATATGTTATGTTCATAGGACTTCCAGGATAAAAATCAGATATCAGTACTCAAGCAGCTTTAGAACTATCCAAGCGATTTAGAGATTAAAATTTGAAAGTTACCATGGAATATCACACTTTTTTCACCAATAACAAGAAAGCGTTCTTATTATTCCTCTGTTGGACTCAGCTGGTTCCATAATAATCGCTTTTAAGATTGCGTGTTGTTGTTGTAGTTGAGCTTAAAGTCCTTCGCCGAATATAAATCCGGGCCATTTTATGTTACGTAAACCCGACAAAGTTGGGGACGTTTGTGTTAGTCATTGTCCATATTTTTCACTATATTAAAGAACTAACATATTGATAGGCTTATAAATTGGTAATTTTGATCGCCACCGGCATCGTTGGTCGATGGTCTTCGTTTTTGATCGAAATAGATGAAATGGTTCACAACCTTCAAGATTTAATTATCAGTAAGGAGTTAAAAGCCTTAAGCGCAGAACAGTATATCTAATCAATATTTCAAACCTAGTAAAATAATTATAAATTATTTGATTAGAGAACGATATGACGTTTTATTTATGTATAATAATCACACCTAATGTTTTTAGCGAGTATGCTAATTATAAAATGTTACTTTAATTTAATGGGGTGACGGGTGGCATGGAGATTTTGAAACAATTATTCCTACAAAAATTTCAACATGCTTATACAGATGATGTCGTCGTAGAAACTCTTTTTGTATATACAATAATATGAAGGCGATTACGATGTCAGAATATTCTCCGATTCCTTTATGACTTACAATAACAATATTCGAGGTTATTTGTATGGAAACCCATTATCGTTGGTTTCGGTCAACAAAAAAAGGTTTCGGACGAAAGCTTATATGTAATACCTATAAATAAAAATTAGAAATACAAAAATCGGCAAAATTCCAAATTTTTATCTGAAATGTTCCAGAATGGCCTACATTTTGCAGCTGTCAAGTTAAGTCTTTGAAAACAAATACCAGATGATTTCAATTAAATGCAAATGTTTTTTTTCACAACTGAAATTTTCTAAGTGTTTGATATATGTGGAAAAAGATCACCTATCTATTCTATTTTGGTTATTATACTTTCAACAGGTTATTTTATGTTTGCCACGAAGTTTGTAAGACTCAGACAGAAATGTCAGTGTAATGTCCTATAAAATATATACTATGTAAATTATGAAAGTGACAGGCTGAGTTGATTAAACGATGTCCGTCTGTCTGTATATACTGGAACTAGCACTTCGGTTTTTGAGATATCAACCTGAAATTTTGCACACGTCAACTGCTCATTTGTCAGCACCGTCCATCGAACCACTATTAGAAATAGCTGCTCTACAAACTGATCATACAAAATCGAGTTTTTCTATGGAAAACTTTTTTATTTATTATTATATTATTCTTCACGAAATTTGGCATGGATTTCTTTTGAAGATAATGCTACAATCTTCAAACAAATTGCACAGATCGGCCTACTATATCATATATCTATCGTTCAAACTGACTGATAAATAGCAAACAACTTGGCTAGAAAGAACTAATAAACATTTTCTATTGAATGCAAACCGTTGGCCAGTTAAGTTTTCAGAATTAGTTATACATATAGTTGCTATAAGAAATGCACCTGTGATGGGTGATTTTTCTAGTTTCCAATCGACAATGCAGATAATAACAATCAGTATACGTTCTTTGTAGACTAGTCGATCGATTATCAATTATTAACATTCTGCTACTGTGTACAAACAACACAACAAAGTATTTTAAACGACAAAAGTACTGATAGACTCAGAAAAGGTGTAGATAAGCATACAATTTGAAAAAGTCTGTTATCATTTGTAAAAGAACTAATTGCCTTATAAATTGAACTGGTAGCTTTTATTTATTTCTGTAAGCATAGTTATTCAGTACATATGTAAGTATATATACAATATAAGGGAATCGGAAAATATGTAGGAACTCACTTGCACGTGTTCGCAACATTTTTTGATAAATGTATTGTATTTATCACTTGATTACGTTTAAGTTGAAATAATTCGATAATATCACGCGATATGAGTATAAGTAAATATGTACATACTTGTATGTATGTAAGTTAGAAATTTCGAAACCAAAGAAAGAAGTTGTGAGCATAATATTTAACAAAAAACTGTAGCATACTCTTTTAAGCAGAAAGCAAAACGAACTGAATTTTTTCGTTAAAATTTACCTATTTTTCATTTTTTATGTAAAATTAGGATAAAGTAGTAAATAAAAAATATGTAATGTAATAAAAGATAGTAATATTTACATAAACATTATTTTACAAATCTAAAATTTTTTGAATATAAAAAAGCAAATTTTGCGTATATTTTTAAATTTGGTGGTGGTTAAACATATTCCATTGCACCGACAAGGCATAGTATTGTTAGCAATGTGTTGGCAATATGCAGGGTGCCCCATCTTCTATTTCTGTATATAGACATTGAAAACTAAAAACAAATATTCTTTATTTAATTTAGCACTTAACAATTTATTTTCACAATTTTTTTTATTTTACCAATACTTTTATCAAGCGACAATGTGGCTCGGCCATATAAAAATAAACTCTTTGCTGGGTTTGATACTCCCCTTTCGAGCATTCCTATCAGTAGAGCGATGATTTTGGCTAAATTTTTGCTTTGCGTTCATCAACAGTCTTGCTCGAGTACACTTTGTTTTGATCCGGCGATAAATTTCTGAATGAATGATCAATATTATAAAGCTTTGCAAGTGCAGTATGTAACAACTAAAGAAGAAATTATCAAAGTGGTTTAAGAATTGAGTGAGAAGTAAAGAAGAAGACTATTATAAGGCTAATTTGATATCAAATCAAGTAAGGAAGAGCTAGGTTCGGATGACATCTAACATTTTTTACTCTTGCAACTTGCAATGATCAAAGTAAGGAAAATACCTTCAGCTGTTAAGAAAACTTTATATTAAAAAAGTTAGGAGGGAATTCATCATTCAATATTCGACAAAATCGTGAATGGATTGCAATCATATTTGGTATTTTATTAAGTTATATTACAAGTCATAGACTCATTAAGTTTTATTTCGTGGCTGATTAATATATATTAAAATCATCTTGAAATGGTATATGCAAGTATGTGGTATAAACGGAACCGAAGAGGGTAAATTTAATTATTGAATCGATGTGGAAATCGTCGACCAGAGAGTTAGGCCAAGATCTAGACCAACTCTACTCATATTCAGCGCTAAACTATTAACATAATTTTATAAATTTTATGTAAACTTGTTTACTCAATTTCATTAAAATATCACAAAATTTGGACAACCTAAACGGTTTAAAGTCAGCAGAAACATCGGAAATCTCTATATAGGGTATGTTGGGGCAGAAAAAGGTCTGTGGTGATTGCACTAATTTTTGACATTGCTCAAGTATACTTGTGAATATATTTTCAAGCAAATTACATAAATATGTAGCTCATGCACTGTTTGTTAGAAAAACGAAAATAATTTTATGTATTACATATTTATATGGGGGTCCGGGTAATTCGTGGACTAATTTTACAAATTTTTGGCATTGAACTCCTAAATCGTATGTCCAACAATTTACGCTTAGTTAATTTTCTAAGATATCTTACATATTGACCTGCATATATATACATACGTTATGAAGTCAACTGGAAGTTCGAAAATCTTTATATTAGGTACATGGACGCTACGGGAACTTTTAGTAGTTTTTAACATAACCGTTATATGAGGAGAGGGTGGGATTATAATCCGATTTCAACTATTTAATACTTAGTAGTATCCACTTTTTGAAGCAGGTTGTGTTCATTTAGCTGAAGTAGTTTGCTAGATATGTACATATGGGGCCGCGGCGACTTTTTTTAAATTGTCAAACCACACGTGCCTCTCACCATTGCAAACCTTTGCACCAAACTACAGTTTTATATCTTAATTTGTAGCTTGGTTATAGCACTTTACATA